GCCCCCCCGCCCCTTTATGTTCCAAATAAAGGTTAGCCATCCGTGTATGTTCTGGATTTAGGCTGTTTGTTGCCTTTGATTCTCGCCAGTGGCTGTGACTGTGGTGGACTGAAGCAGTGGTCCAGCTGGAAGCTAGCAGGCCGGCCAGAGAAGCGTATGAAAGCCAACAACTGAACGGCATCTACTTTGCCTGCCTGCTTGCCACCGGGCATTTAGCTTGGCAGCAGTTATTGCCATCTTCATGTGGCTTTATTAAGGGGGTCACAGGACTGGCGCCTTCACACTGTTAAGGTCTGCTCACCCTCCTGGACTTACCTGCATCAGTTAACTCAGTGATTTTCTTTGGTTGCAAAGGTAACCACTGTCCACGCTTAAGCCTTCAGTTTTGCCCTTTCTACAGAAATCCAAGATTGAGATCCCTAAGTGCGGTGCAGACTCATGTTTTTTAGTAGTCTATATTTTATACTGTGGTAAAAGTGCAGGGTTTTTCCACCGTTATTTGTTCATTAATTTGGATTTCATTTTCCTTTTAGTTTAGTATGTCTGAAAGAATGGGCCCCAATTTTTTTTTCAAGTACTTGCCAGGTATACGACTGCTGCACAGTTAAAAGCTTGTTGTCATGCTTTGATTTTATCCACATGGAAAATTTGCCTGCTTTTGCATAAGCATTCAGATTGGGTTTTATACTCAAGTCTTAGGTAACTGTTCTAAAGCTGGTGTGAGCATAAGCAATTATGTTGAGAGACACACCAAGTGGCTGCATGTGTATTTGTTCTTTCTCTTGAATATTTTTGCATATTTCCTAAAAAAAAAAAGTATTCTACAAGTTGTCTTTAAAATTAGTTGTTTGGAATACATGTCAGTCTTGTTTGTGGGACAGTCTCTGAATTTTAACTTCTGAGTCTCGGATCTCACAGGCTAATCTCAAATTGCTCTTGAAGTATGTGAGAACACTCTTTATTACAGCTCTGTGAAGCCTTTGTAGAAATGGCAAGTGTGTATTCATCCCCTGAAAGCTTGTGAAGAATTTGCTGTAGCTTATGACAGAGCTCCTCAGCCTTCAGGAATGTAAACTAGATTTAGTGACATTAAAGATAGATGTTCAGAAGGAATTGGCACATGAACAGAATTGGGGTTTTAATACCTTTTTTAACTTGTGCAATTGTACTATTTTACTTGACTGAGCAAAATGATTAAATGTTTTCTTTAAAAGCTAGATAAAATAGATTAAAACCTCTTCTTTAGAAACCGTTTTGCAGTGAATGTCACTTGGTCTGCAGTGCCTTCACATACTTTGCTCCACTGCTATTCATCCTGAGGTTTGGCTGTAGGCTCAGAGCTGTACTTCAGCAGCAGAAACCCTTACTGCTCAGCCCCTCTGCTCATTTTCATTTTTATTTTGGTCTGCAAATAAAATGCTGGGCTGAATTCCTGAAATGTAACTAGCCGCCTTCCCTCGTTGCTGGTCAGCCTGGTCTGTACAGCAGGTTTTTGCTGAGTATCAGTGTTTAAAGAATTTTTTGTCATTTCTGCCTCTGTGGCTTTGTCTTTTGCCGTGTTGTCATAGGCATAGACTTGATGTCTTCTAGACTCATCACATATTATGAAAAGGATGTGTCGATTAAGGAAGGGAGCGTTGGATGAGACAACTTGCTGGCTGAGATTAAGGCTCGAAGTGCAAGATCAGCACCCATGTTAGCCCTGGAGGAAATAGCGTATAGTTTGTTTTGTCTGCTGTGTTTATCAATGATGGGACAGAGGTTTGAAGATTAAGAAATGACTTAAGATGATGAGTGCTTAAAACCCATCATATATTACAGCAATCCGGAAAGTAGTAAGAGAAGGAAGGGGGGAGAACTTTACACTCATGCATCACTTGCAGCTTTTAGAAGGTGATTTAGTAGGTAGAATTAATGCTTTTGAATAGTTGGGATTGATGGCTTCTGAAGTCTTCAGTTCAAGCTCTTGTGAAGTTAATTCTGGTATTGTGCACTCTACTTCTTCATTGCTCGTTTGGGAAAAGGGTTATCCTGGGAGAAAGTAGAGGAAGTAGCTCCCAGCCTGTTAGTTTTGTGTTTGCAAAACATCTGCTCTGAAGTCCTGAGCCTGCCTAACGAAATCTGCTTGCCAGCAGGAAAGCATGCAGCTGTTTGAACGTGTAGGTCTCACTGATACAGAGTTGGAGGGCTTTGTTAGAGGCTTTCCTCTAGGGACAGTCTGTAACCAAAGGTTCTATCTAATGTATCTTCTGTTTAAAGTAAGGAAATTCCAGATGATGTTTTTTATTTTCTGTATATTTATACTGGTAAGTGCATTAATATTATGCCACTCAAATTAGTTTTTGAACAGGCCTTTTGTAACTTGGGGTAGTCAGAAGAGAGGTTTCAACCTTTTAAACTTTTAGACCTTCCAAAGTAAGCAAAGATCATTAAGAAACGGAGATCTAGACTATGACAGCAGAAGTACCGACTGAACAACGAGAAGTTCCAAGAAGGGAACTATAATGTCAGAGGTAATCAACTGTTTTGACCAATGACAAAAATTTGTGTGACTTTCAGCAAGTAGGGTGTGTTTGCTATGGATTTTCAATCTTATTGATGTTAAATGGGGAAAAAAACCCACTCTTTGTAGAACGTTTTCTTTGTAGAATCATTATCCCAAATGTAAAGAAGTTGTCTTTCCTTTCTTGTCTGTGGGATTTGAACAGCTTTTAGTAATGGTTAAAAGAATACAGCAAACACATCACCTACGGTTTCACCTTTCAGCTGCTTCCTTGAGGGAGTGCATTTGCAGTACATGGTCTTGCTGGGCAGGGGTTTCAGTATGTGTATGGACTGCGATGTGGGCATTAGAGAAGGAGATTGGAGAAACACGCCTTGCACCTGTGTTGAGGTCTTTGCTGGGGCTGCTGATTTGATTACCTTCGGGAACCCAACCCATTGCCTCATGTTGGTTCCTGAGGATACTTCATCTCCTCTACAAATTAACTTCATCCTGCTTATAAAAAGTTCTGCTGAGGTGGGAGCTTCAACTGCAGACTTTTCCTGGACTCCAAGGAAGCTTTTTAGACACGTGCTTGACATCAAGTTTTGATGCTGTGATATGAAACCTTAGGACAAGTCCAAGACCTCTTGGCAGCTGGGCTGAAGCATATGTCTGAGCAGTAATGCCCAAAGCAAAGTAACAACTATGGTGTCCATGGTGAGAGAAGAGGATTTGTGCACTTATTTCTTGCAAGAGAAGGGAACTTTCCCTAAAGGTTGGGTCTGAGGTTTTTTGTGCTTTTCACTAGGCATCTATAGAAATAAAAATGCACAGCAAAATTGTGGGTGTAGTATCATTAACCAGAAGAGGCTGAATTGCAGCTACAAATCTTTGGACTGGTTCCCTCTTCCCACTCTCCTGGTTGAATCTGTTATATGGAACACGCAGCGTGTAGGTTTTAACATCCCCAGCATTTGCTGAATCTGCTAGGCATCTTTGCAGCCTGCGGAATCGGCTGCAGTGGCTTGACCAGCGAAGCCTGCCAGACCGCAAAGGCCATTACTCCATGGTTGCTCCATCATCCTACACACAAAAAGGGGTGCCTTTGGGCACGTCTGCCCTGTGCAGTGTGGCACGCTGTGAGGCCATTGAGACAAGCAAAGTGATAGGCAAGGTTAATTAGCCTCAGTACAGTACAGCCTTAAATATGTCAGTTATCTTGGGGTTTGGAAGGTGAATAATACCCCTGTGTGGTGTGCCTGGTCTGTGGCTCCCTGGCACGGGGCTGCTCAGAGCGGACTGGGGACACCTAAAGTCACCTCGCGCAGTGCAATGTAGACGTGTCCCGGTTTTGTTGCTCCCAGAGCCAGCTTAGTACAGCTTGTTAGATCATGCTGCAGTCTGTCTCGATTTAGGGGAGCGACCAAACATGCTTAACAGCAACTCAGCACTCACTTTTAAGCATGGCTTTAGGTCTCTAATGGCAGACATCCTTTCAAAAACCCAAGCTGTGTTTTCTTAAACATTTTATCCTTTAAAGTATTGCACGTGCGTTTTTGGTCACTTGAGCTTGCTTCCTTTCTGCTTGCTTGGATTTTTTTGTGCTTTTTTTTTCCGTTGTGCTTGCTAGTCAGAGAAAGAATTTAAATTTTCCATGTGTGTATATATATATGCCCACTTTTGCTTTTATGCTTCTCTCACACAGTCTTGCCGTGGGTGAGTGGAACTTACTTGGCAAAGAAAGCAAACAGAGAGAACAGACCCATCGCCCCCCGCCCCTTGAAAGAGCAGAGGGCATGCGGAATAAATCAAAACGCAAAGCATAATAACGAGGTCCCATGGGAAAGGGAGCCTTGCGATTGTGTGCCGGCGTGCACTCCCCTTAGAGACGGCGGCCAGGGGGCTCACCCCACGGTGGCTGGGGGGCTCCTTTCTTTCTCGCTCGCATCTCCCCTCCCGATGTCACCAATCCATTCACTGCCGAGAGAATTGATTAACATTCGACGGGAGCCTTGGGAGACAGGGGGAAAGAGGGGGAGAGTGGAGGGCGAAGGGAAGGGGGCGCGAGCTGGCGATGCCGGTCCGATGCAGGTCCCCACGACGTGGCGAGCCGGGGCACGGTCGGGCATAGGATGGCTATTTTATAGCTGGGGACCGCAGTGACGTATGGCTGAGCGCTCGCTGGCACGGCTCCTCATGGACCAGTCAGCGGAGCGAAATTGAAGCTGACAAGACTTTTCTGGCGTTTTGGAAAGGACTGTAATCTACTGTAGGGGAGAACAGAGCCGCTCAATCAGCG